TAATCACTGTTAGGAGAATTGTACATCTATCATCCTGCTTAAGGCTCAAAACAACTCAAAGAAGGAGGCACTACTATCACCCCCATTTTATAGGTAGAGAAACTGAGCTCTGTTCTAAGCATTTTACATATATCAAGCCCCATACATCAGATGGATCCATGCAACCGTGAATCTGAGGCTGGTGAGCCAAGGAGGCAGGCACCACGCTCCATGTGCTATCTACCAGGCACCATCCCCTTTGGTTATTTCTATTCCCAGAAACAGCAGTGGCCATATCCAGTGGTGACAAAGTGACGGCTGAGTGTCCCTAGGGCAAGAATGACTTCTCTACCTGACCAGTCTGTGGAGTAATTTTGGGTGTTGCTCTTGACTAAGTGGCTTCCAAACTGTTTTCTTGCCCTCCTGGAGAACCTATGAGCATCTGATATTCCCTGGAAAATTTATTTCCAGCCAGAGTTGTATTTTGGCTGATACAACATGTGAAGTGCCAAGTACAACATATGTTAGTTTTCTCTTAGCTAGGTCTGCATTGTACATCAAGGCTTTAAATGTTGTTTCACATTTATATATATTATTAAGAATCACACATTTCACTATCTCATCACATAGACTCCTGGGAGGTCTCAAGATGAGTTTTCTTAATAGAGAACAAAGGTGTGTCATTGTGTGATTCTCAAATCTGAGATTCTTGCTGAAGAGCAAACAGCACTATTCCTTCTCTGATGTCTCAAAGGACAAAGAGGAATGAGTGAGAAGTTTCAGGTCTTCAACAGACTATGAGTTTCAACTCTCCTGGACATCTATTCCCACCTCCCTCACCCACAAGACACACCCAGGCTGATGACCCATCCTCTCATTACCTGCCCAACTCACTTGATCTTGGGGTGGGGGTAGATGAAAAGATCTGTTGCCTGTTGCAGTACATCATCAGCTGATTTAATTCTTCCTTCAACCCCAGAGGTAACTGTTTTAGTTTTTTTCCAGCTTTTTTGAGGTATGACTGACAAATAAATACATATTTAAGGTGTACAATGTGATGTTTTGGTATTCGTACACATTGTGAAATGATGATCACAATTAAGCAAATTAACATATCCATCACTTCACATCATTACCCTTTGTGCGTGTGGTGAGATCACTTGAGATCCACTCTCTTAGCAAATTCCAAGTATGCAATACAGTATTGTTAACCATAGTCACCATGCTGTACCTGAGGTCTCCAGAACTTACCCATCTTATAACTGAAAGTTTGTACTCCTTGACCAGCATCTCCCCCACCTCCAACTCCCAGATCCTGGTAATCGCCATTCCACTCTCTCTTACTATAAGTTTGACTTTTTTAGATTCCACATGCAAGTGAGATCGTGCAGTATTTGCAGAGATAGCTATTTTTAAGAATAACTCCACAAAGTCCTTTATTTTTCTTTTATTGTTGTATAATACATTTATGTCTGTTATAAATACATTCCAAACTGGAGATTCACAGATATTAATGAACTTGCCCAGTTAATGAACTGTCTCTTAATTCCACAGTTTTCACAGCTTGTGCTGCTTGCACTTCAATCAGAGGATGAGAATGGTCATGTGCACCTATGTGAATCAAGTTCAAGGATAAATGCTCTGTGAGGGACCAGTTCAAAGCCTTTTGTGCTTTGTTGCTGTGAGCTGAGAGCCAGGCAACCACTGCCTCTCAGGGCAGCACCCAGGCGGCACCCGGCTACTGAGTCCGTGAGACATTGTTATATATATATTAAAATGATGACTCTTAGTAGTATAAATAAATTAGTTCCTTCACTATTTTTAAAAAACTGGGTTAACAGGAAAATGTCTGGGTTAACACTGCACTTATAAAATGCCTTTCAAAGTTATATCATCCTCTAGGTTTACTTTCACATTTTACTTTACACAATTTTAATTTGCTGTGCAAAACATTTATCCAATGAATATAACTAGTGGCCTTTTAAAAATGCACAAAAACAGAGTCCTCCTGTGTAGCATGGATTCTACCTGAGAGCCTCAAGTCACAGTCTTAGGAATTGTTTTAAGGAGGAATGGGATGCCGAGAAGCAAGCTGATGCTGCTCCTGCTGCGTCCGTCTAGCAGGGAGTGTGCAGACCTGGGCTGAGCTTGATCCAACTAGAGCTAAAGGCATAGAAAGCTGTCAAGCCAAAGCCAAAGAAAGAATGCATTTTGCCAAAATATTTGATATATACCTGGCTCTTTCTGCCAGGTATGTAAGAGACACTAAACACGTCAACACAGTGCTACAGGGCTAAAGAAGGACTCATTGAATGTAGAATTACTGGGGATTGAGAGATGTGATTTTTGGATCATGAAAGTATGTGTATATATTGTATACACACATATACATATGTGTGCACATGTGTGTGTGCATATCCTTTCAAGTATTCAGTCTAAAATTTCAGAACTGTATCTGAAAGTGTACCACAAACATTATATGGTCAAGAACCACTACAGGAAAAAAAATAGTGAGCCTCAGGGAGTTAGAAAAGGGAAATTAAGGCCTGTTCCCACAGCCTTTGGGTAAGTATGATGGTGAGTGCAAGTTGGGATGGTAAGAGGATTTTCAAGAGCAAACAAGAATGGAGTAGGAGACAGGAAGTAGCAAGGTTATAAGTAAAGCATGAAGTTTATAAGCAATCAGTAATTCAGTAGAGACATCACTTAAAAGAAGAGGGATATGGAGGATCTATTCCTATAAGGAGGCCAGAAAGTCCTTAGGGCTAGAGATGGCAAAGGTACAGAGTTGGAACTATAGAGAGAGATTGGGGTATCATGGTAATGAGGATACAGAGGTGGTACAGGAGAAAAGAGCACCCAGCCTGTAGCCACCTCCTCCAGGGCTCCCCAGGGCCCTCTGTGGCACAGTGTGAAACCTTGGGACCAGCCTCCTCTTAGGTCTCCACCAACTTTGAACTTGAACACTCAAATGAGTCTTCTTGGGGAAAGCCTCATACAAATTAATTTCTACTCTGTTTCATCTTTGGAAGGGGACATAAAGAACAAAATTTTTCTGACACGGGCAGCCACTCCAAGAGGTATCCTGGTGAACAAGGAAGATATATTAGAGAGTTGAGAAATCAGCAAGTGAGCCTGACAATAAGGCAGAGTCTTGAGAGAAAAATAGCCAGGTCACCCAGTGGATTAGTAGGACCCTATTTCTGAAGACATTCTGCAAGTAGAGTTAATTGAAACTTGTCGCAAATCTGAACCGGTCCCAAGCACCCATCCTCCTGTTCAGCCAAGACTAAATTCCCATGAGGACATGCCTAAGTGCAGAAGGGGCTAGTGAAGAACTTCTGGACTGATCACAGTGGCTGTAGCTGCAAGGTCTCCTGAAGAAAACTGGATTGTCAATCAGGGGCAGACAGAAAGGAGCCAACCTTGGTTGAGTGCTTGCTTCCATAGAATGCACTGCACCAGAGCGTCAATTTTTCTCACCACAATTTACTTCTCACCACACTTTAATGGGGGTAATTTTATAATCCTTATTTGAATGGCAAGGAAGCTGAAGTTCAGAGAGGTTAGGTATTTTGTTCAAGATCACAGAGTGATGCCAAAATATGAACCCAGAAATGCCTGACTCCAAAATTTATGCTGTTTTCAACAAACTAAGTGGGTTTCCCAAAGGAGTCTCAAATTAGTTCATCAATTCTTCATTTAACGCATCTATGTTTAAAAAAAGAAAACTAGAAAATCTCCAGATGTTTGAAAATTAAGCAACATCTTTCTAAACCACAATGAAATTAGAAAATATTTTTAACTGAATGATAATGAAAGAGATGTATCATAACTTAAGAGCTGCAGCTAAAGCAGTGCTCAGAGGAAAATTTGTAGTACTAAATGTATGTATAAGAAAAAAAACAGGCTGAAAAATCAATGCTCTAAGCTTCCATCTCAAGAAGCTCAATAAAGAAACCCAAAGAAATTAGAAGGAATTTCTACATCTCTAATAATAAAGAGAAGAGCAAAAATCAAATTAAATAGAAAGAAAAAATCAACAAAGCTAAAGATTGGTTCTTTGAAAGAGTAATAAAATTGATAATCCCCAAGCAAGACTAATCGAGAAAAAAAGGGAGAAACATAAATTGCCAGTATCAGGAACGAACATATTTTAACTGCCTACTACATATATAAGACACTGAGCACAAGGAGGAGGGAGAGGAGGGAAAAAAATGTATCTGTTTAAAGTCATGCAGAAAAATCACATTCCAGATTCTATAGTATTCAATTTAATCCAACGTGCATTTATTAGAAGAGAACATAAGGTGCTGTAGGTTTGGTATTGAGAAATATCAAAAATATCTTGAAAGAGAGAGCACACGTACTTTGGAGTCAGACAGAGCTGAGTTCAAATTCAGCCTCTGCCTTGAACTAAATGCATGACTTTAGGCAAATTATATAACCTCTCTGAGCTTCCATTTTCTCATCTAACAAATGGGACATAATAATGTCAACTTTATAGGGGTGTGGGAATGGTTAGAGATAAAGCATCAAGTACATAGGTAGCATATGTTCTACAGAATACTTTTTCCAATGACCCATTACCATGGAATTTATAGTTTAACTCTCTGTATGAAGGGTACAAAAATATATCCTGAGACAAGGTCATTCAATTGGAAATGTAACATTTTCTGAACAGCTTGAGCATTTACCTTTCTTTCCTTGCCTCTGCCAATAAGAGAGGTTTGGCGTAGTCGTTTTTCAACAGAAAGAATGTTACCAACATGTAAACAACATAAAAGCATCATATAAAAATTAAAATGAAATAAATTAATATAAAAATGTCATGCTAATTTTATACATTAATTTTTTTCTTGATTATTAGGAGATCAAAATAAAAACTAGGCCAATAACATGCTATTTTAAGACTTTGGAGGAAAAGGTTTCCATCTCTAGTGTTCACATGATGACAGACGATCCCTTCAGGTCCTCTGCTCTCCACCAGAGTGTCTGCTGAGTCATACATGTTGATGCAGACTGCAAGCGCTCAAAGATCTGAAACAACCGTGAGATTGGCTCATATCTCGGATGTACAAGATGAATGCTCAGGATCTTTCACACACTGAAGAAACTTGAGAGGCCTATGGCAAGAAAGCAAAAAAGGAGATCAAGTGGCAGTTGAATACATCTATGGTTCAATTCACCAGGAAAGTAGCCCCTTCATTAGCAGCAAAAGTACGCATGGAACACTTAGCACCCACGCAAGTTCCTCTCCTACAGTGACAACATGGAGAAAAGTCAAGTCCAAGAGTGAATGACTTAAAGTATGGCTCAGTTTAGCTTCATTTCACTTGTAAAGCCATAGAAATAACTACTGAGAAGGCATGTTTGATGATAATATGTGGACATGAAAATGAATGTCTGGCTCTTGCACGTCACAGATATGTGCTATGAATGTCAGCTGATGATGAAGAAACAGCAGAAGGAACAACCCGAGATGAGGGCTCCCCATATTTTCCATTGATGATTTGCTTTCTTCTCTTCAAAAGCTTCTTAAGGCAGTGTTGGCTCAAAGGCAGCCCAGAGGCTGAGAAGGCTGGAGGCCATCAGCTAGAGAACCACACCACTTTTGCACAGAACTAATCCTAGATAAATATCTAGCAGGTGAATGACTCTCATTTTCATAAATATAAGATAACAAAGTGACAGGGTCCAATGCGAGTGCCGAGCACTTGGAGGAGGGGAGTGGAGAGTGGGGAAAGTGTTCATTAAATTGGACCTGAATCTGATTTTGCTAAATGTGAGTCAAGGAAGAAAGAGATCCTTAGAAGCAGCTACCAGCACCTCTGTGCTTCTTGGATGGGCCATCTCAGGCTTGTCTCTAGCCAACTGTCATGACCAGTTGGGCACAGTGGCTCTAAGTTTAGAGTCACCCCATCCTCACCAATAAGGTAACCTAGGATCCCCCACATCAATACATCCCAGCGGGGGAGAAGTATCCTCTTCCTTAAGGAAATACAGCTATGGAAAAGGAATCTTTCTAAGATTATTTAGGATTTTTGAAGCCACCTTTGCTTTATGTTAAGTGAAGAGAATATGAATATGCTTCTTAATTAGTTTCTAGTTTATTGGGAATTCAGTTTTGGAAAAGAAGCAGCAATTGTGCTGTTAAGATGATCTATCCCATAAATATGTAAACATTAATATTCAGTGTCCCAATAAAACAGACACACTTTTCATATGTTGGGTAACACATTGATGGATAGAGACAGAGCGTATTTTAAAGTAATGCAGAGGGAGAAATGTGCCCCTTAGATTTTTTCTTAATACGCCACTAGAGGGCACTAACCAGAATAAGCATGCTGACCGTTTGATATTTTTATGGTAATCCAAAAGAATATTTTACCTTCTTTTCACTCCACTAGTTAAAACATATGTTAAGAAATTCTGTATGCATTTTATCAGAATTGTTAGTGTGTATATGGGAAAAAAAGGAAAAAGACTCAAAGGATATATAGCCAAATGTTAATAATGTTTGTCTGAGTGGTGGGATTTGTTAAGAGGTAACAGCGGAATCATTAGGAGGTCTAATCTATATAAATGTAATTACATTCCTGTTTGCTCATTAAACAATCGCACCAAAACAGCTGGACAAAAGTTTGCTAAAATTGGGAGGTATGTTTGGGATGGAGTGATTTAAACGACAGTCTATGTCTATGTCCCTATCGTCCACTTTGGGCTTCCCTAGAGACAAGCAGCTGTCTTGCAAAGCCACCAAACTCTTAGATACAACAAGGGGCCCTGCGGGTCTGGTAATTCAGATAGCCATGCGAATATATTATCACCTCATGGATGGAGAAAACAAACAGTGATTTCAAATACGATCCTCAAGTTTAAGGTCACATGAGCAGATGCTCTGAATGACAGGTGTTGGCTTACAAATCACTTCTTTCCTTTGTGGGCCACTATACAAGTCCAGATGGAAGGTTATGCTTATATATTCTTCCCAGATGGAGAAAGAGTGAGCTTATCTGGAGCCTACAGTAGGCCATCAATGAAAGAAAGGGGAATGTTTAATGCAAGAAAAAAGATAAAAGAATGTTGGAGACAAAACTCATCTACATCCCCCAATCTTCTCCTAGGTTTTAGTATTCTATTTTCCCAATGCAAAATATCTTTGAATAACTCAGACTGGTCAGATGGCTGCCACATTTCTTTCATAGCTGTTCCTTTGTTCTGTCTGTTTTCCCATCTAACTGCTGTAGAAGGCTTGTGTTATTTTCTAAAGCCAGCTGACTGATGGGGAATTTGGATCACTTGGGAGACAAAAGCTCTCAGTGAATGTTCCTTGAATCTGTCCTTCTGCCTTTCTGATATGGTCGGTGGGAGAGGGTGGTGACAGGAAGGAGAAGGGAAAAGCATTCTAGCATTTCCACTTCTACATTCTTTGAGAAAATTTCCTCTCTCCATCAGTCTTTTTCTAAGCTATCATATGCGGGAAAATCTTCAAAGATGCTTCTAGCAAGGGATCCCTGCCTATATTAAGTATTGGCCACAATTACTTAAAAATGAGTGACAAGGTCCCAGTTTTGATAACAGAGTTGCAGGTGACTTTAAAAATATATACCTATCTGTAATTTTAAGCTTTTCTCCAATAAACATGTATTACTTCTAAGTTTTTAAAAAGATTTTACATTTTTTCATTAGAGAAAGATAAAGCTTGGTAAACTGCCATGTGGCAACTTACCAAGTGTTAGGCATCTACACTGAGATCCAACTAAAGAAACTTCACATGCAAAGTTACGTCGTCACAAGAATTTTACAAATTCTTTACATTTGGCAAAACGCACTTCTGCTCCCAGAAAGCTTAGCAGGCCTGTCAGCCCTGGGTCAGGGGAAACCAGAAAATATGCCCTCAAAGGCTGGGTCAACTTCAGAGGAAAATCGCTGCTTGGGCGGGGTGGGGAAGGAAAAGAAGGAGGGGGAAAGGAGATCAATTGAAGGCCATTGGCTGGGAACACCTTCTGGGCTAAGCTGGGGGAAGAACAGAGATTACCACAGGTCACCAGCAAAGCCCAAGGGAAAATGCCTGCAGATGGCGAGACACCATTTCTCTTTAAGAAGAAATCAATTACCTGTAGTTATCCTGGCAGGTAAATGTAATATTCCTTTCATTTATAATCGTTTTCAGATTAAATATGGAGGAACTCGAACATGAGATGCTGGGCAAGAAAGAAGAAAGTGTTAAAATAACAAGATCTCGCAAACATTTCTTGAGTCTCTTAGTTTCTTCTAGGTAGCAGGCCCTGGGCAAGGCCCTGGGATAAAGAGGTGAAACACAGGTGGCTTCTAAGAGCTCACGGGGTAGCAGGGGAGCCAAAGGTGTGAACTAGGTAGATACCTATCATGGAGATAAAATTAAGAGGTTGTTGGGATGGGCTGAATGTAGCGTAAGGCCCCTTCATTTCCTGAGCCAGTCTTTTCTCAACGCATTCTTGTGACTGTGGATTCTTTTGTGGACTGATTCCTAAAATAACCCTGACACTAATGGGTACAAAGCAGTAACGTATACCTGGCAGTTCCTCCAATGCTATGCATCACCCAAGCCTGCAGTGTATGAACCTTCTGTGGATGCAAATTACGGATTTCCACACGTCCAAAAGTGCTAAGATAGAAGAGACAAAGAACATTTAACCCCAGATTAAATTGTTCAGGCACCCACAGCCCCTGTGAAAAGCCCACAGGCAGGGCACCACTGCTTAGAACCTACCCTTTGGAATTGACCCCTGGTTTGCACTAGAAATAGCCACTTTTACTCATTCGACGTGACCCTCAATGAATAAGATTCTCAAAATGAGATTGTTTATCTGTGCCCTGATGTTGATTCTTTAAGTACTTGCTATTCCAAGAGTGGGCCTTAGACCAACTTAATGAGCATCACCTGGAGCTAGTTAGAACTACAGAACTTCAGCCCCCCACCACCTGCTGAATCAGAATGTGCAGCTGAGCAGTCCCCAGGTGACCCACATGCTCAGGGAAAGTTGAGAAGCTCTGCTTTGAAAGACCCTGATGTCCTGCCTGAACCCCAGTCCTGAACTTTCCCCGTTAGCCTCCGACAGCTGCCACTCCTGTTGCAAGTTCTTGGATCCCTAATACCAGATTATAAAATTCGAGAACGTTAACACTTTCACCCAAAAGCCCATATGGCTGAGGTCAGAAGAAGACAAGAGAACAAATGCTTCTTTGTGGAATTAAATATTAAAACAGGAGAGAAGCAAAATTAATTTGGCATACCTAGAGTGCCAGGGGCACATTAATATATGCTCCCGCCTCTCAGTCCAGCCTTATCTAGGGAAAGATTGGAGAACAAAGACTGAAAAGGTAATCAGTGGGGTAAAAACTGTAAATATAGAAGGCGGTCAGAGAAGAAAGGCATTGGTGTGGCCAGACTCGGTGGTGTGGATTAAATGAGAACAATAGCTGATACTCATTGAGCACTTCCTCTGTTGTCAGGCACAGAGCCCAGCGCTCTTCAGACATCTCAGCTACTCTTCACATCACCATCACCTCTTCAGGTGCATGCTACAGGGGCTCTGTGGCCCTGCCTAAGGTCACAGAGATAATACATCATGACCTCTGGAGTCCCCGCCTTTAACCACTGCAGTAAATTGCTGATAAGGCCTGCCGAGAGATCATGAGGGCCAAGAGCCCAGCACCACCCCTGATGTTCTCAACAGTAGCTTTACTGCTGAATTGGGACTCACATCATTCATGGAAGAGAGAGGAGTCAGGCCAGATCTTCATGGGGGTGAGGATGTAGGCAGAAGGATGGAGGGGGCAGGTCATACAGAGGAACAGCATCAGCAAAGGTGGGAAATGGGCAGGATGGAGTATATGGGAGAGAGAGCTGAGAAAATTACACCAGGCCTCAAAAAGTCAAGAGGAGGAGCTGGACACAGTGCAGGGACCATTAGGACATTTAGAGGATTTTAGGCAAAGTAGAAACCACACAAAAGCATTGACTTAGAAAGCCAAACCTCTCCAGAGGATACAAAAATTTTACCTTTTTTAGCACAGATCTTCAGTACCAACCTTAAACATGAAAAGCATATTCTTCTAGGAATGAAATATCCAATAGGAGGCTGTGCTAACACTTGCAAATAGGATGCAAAGAAATGAGTACCTTTTTTCATCAAAGGCTTTAATGAGGGACCCATTGAGCACCACATGGACCACACCACAGGCATCTTCTGCAAACTTAAAAAAAAAAAAAAAGCCCACCATTCTTCAGCATGCAAACTTAATCACCATGCCCCAGCAGTTCCAACCAAAACAGCTCTTAGCAGTAGCTAGAGAAGAGAAGGGAATAGCCTGTAAGGCTCTAGCTCAGTAATGCCAGGTCTATGTCATTTTCATCCCAAGCTATTGAAAGGATTATGCTTCACATGAGTGTTCTGGAAGCAGTTGCTCCAACCTGTGTTTGAACAATGAAGGTCAACATCATTGTTCATGGGGTTGCTTAATTGGTGGTTCAGAAGTGGGAAGTCCAGATGGGTAAGAAAAACATCAGTGAAGGAGGAAGATGAAAGTGCTTTTGGGTGCCATGCACTGTAGCCACTGCACATTTCATTGAGTGGGAGCAGGGTTGACAATTCAGGGGTCAGGGAAATGGGGAACATCAAGAAAGGGGAATCTGAGGAGAGAAGGTGACACTGAGGCCTGCACAGGCACAAAGAGAAACGGGGAATGAGTGAATGAATATTATTCAGCAAGGAATTTTATTTCTTCATGCAACAAACATTCAGCTGGAATCTTTGCCAGGCACTAGGAAAAACACAATGAACAAAACAAAGCAATCCACCCGGGCCCCTGGGACCAGAGCAAGCCCCCTCCTCACATTATCCATCTATGTATGGCATTGTGATGATGAGCTCAACGTAGGTTTAGCTGCTGGTACTGCGAGCTCTTTGAAAGCCATGAGCCTGGCTTGTCACTACCGCCCTGGAGCCTCATAGCTAGTGCATGGCAGAGTGGGCACCCAGTGAAAATCTGTGGAAGGAAAAGAGAGAAGGAGGAAGGGAGGGAAAGATGAAGCAAGAAGTCCAAATACTCTGAGACGGAGATTAGGAAAGAAATAGAAAAAGCGTATTAGAGGCAACAAAAGCCATGTCCTAAAGGAGGAATAGGATTCACCTGGTAAAGGTTGAGGCAGCTGCGAACAGAAAGGCCTGGAGCTTGAGAGAACAGCGGGGTTTGGGAGGAAACTTCAGTGGATGCTAAAGTTGGGTAGATCAGTTAGTTCATGGAGGGCCACGAATGCTCTGCCAAGGACTCTGGCCTCTATTCTACAGGTGATAAAACACCACTGAACAATTTGAAACTGAATTGTGAAGATACAATGTGGCTTCTCTTTTTCCGCTGTGTGATGAGCAGAGGACAGAGGCCCAGTTATTATCAATCTCAAGGGCTACCTCAATAGGGTGCTTACAGGGTGCCAAGCACTGACCCCGCAACACATAATTCTCAACATCCCCCACGAGGTAAGTATTGGGTCAATGTTCCCCAAGGTCACGTCACTTGGAAGCTAGAAAGTGAGATGGGGTTCAAACCCCAAGCAGCACTGCCTCTATTGTCAGAAAAAGAAGGGTCTAGTCTGACCAAAGAAGGCCTTCCACATACATGTACAAGCACTTGGCCAAGATAAAGCTGTGGTCCCAGGACAGCTCACAGTGTAGGGCACCCTCCCTCATCTTCACCACCGCCCAGCTTCAAGGGCAGTGTGGGGACCACTGGGAGGTGCTTGACGTATAAAATATGACTTGGCTTTAAAAGTTTTTAGCAATAGCACTGCCCCAAAATATTATAGAGTGATCAAATAAATAGAAACTTTTCTCAAAAAAGCAAACAAACAACAACAAAAAACTCTACAGTGCCTCCAATTTTTCACCACACATAGTAGGTACTCAACAAGAATCTATTAAAGGAATGCCTTCTGAGTGAGTTCATGGGATGGTGGTATCTTGTTTAAACATTGCAGTAACCTTACGGGACCGGCATTATTTTTATCCCCATTTGACAAATGAGGAATCTAAAGGTCAGAATGGTTAAAGAATCTGCCCAAGTGTAAACGTCTCCTTACTTCAAAAGCCAGGTGATTATCTGTCTCCGCCACACCAGGGTGTACCCGAATCTCCTTCAGGTGGGTCAGGCCCTCAGCTCTGCTACTTACTAGCCCATTGACCTTGGACGAGTCACTTAACCTCTGAGTCTCAGTTTCTTTACCTGAACCGTGGAGATGTGTACCTTCCCACACCACCTATTGTGAGGACTAAATAGGACGACACAGGTAAGGCACCTGCCCAGGACTTGTCATAAATACGCACTTAACAAATGTGAGTTTCCACTTGCCCAGACCCCTTAGATGTCTAAATTTAATTTTGGAGAATTATAAATAGTAGAGTTTTACTTTCTCCCTCTTTTTTTTTTTCCTTCATTTCCTTCTCCCTTCCTTTCTTTCCCTTTCTTTCCTAATCCACTTGCAAAGAAGCAACTTATAAGAAAAATAAATATGCACAAACGCAGCTTAGAGTCAAGTAGGAAAAAGATAGAGACACTGGGGAGAGGGAGGATGGGGGGTATGGCCCAGCCTAGAGTCTGGATCTGGAGTCAGACCATTTGGGATAAACTTCCAGATCTGCCACTTACTAACTTTGTACACTTAGTGGATTGCTTATTTACCCGTACCTCCATTTTCTCCTTTGTAAAATGAGCGTGAAACTCACAGTACCTACTTCATAGGGTTCTTGTGAGGATGAAAGGTTTTAATCCATGTAAAGAGCTGAGGACTGTGCCTGGCACACACTAACTGTTCTATAAATATAGATTATTAAGACTGTTCTAGGAATCTCAGATTGGCCAATACCTGGATCAGAGGATTAAACCAAGCCCGAGCTTCCTGGTAGCCAAAGCCAGAGAGCAGGAATTCTCTAACTGGAGCCCATGGGTCCTCCACGAATGCCCTAAACTTTATGTGGAAATCTTCTGGCATGTGCTTAAGAACATTTTTCTCAGGAGAGAATCCAAAACTTTTGTTCCTAAAAGGAACTGTGACCCAAAAGGAATTAAAACTAACCACTAACTGGATGATGTCTTAAGTTCTTTGGTCTCCAAAATTCTAGAATTTCAATTTTAGTACTTACCCTTTTGGAAACCGCGTTCCAGAATACAGAAACAGAGTTGTTGAAGCATTCTTCCCTCCAGTCTGGACAAGATTTATAGTTTATTTCTAAAAGACATAGTTCATAGAAAATAATTAAAGTAGAACAGAAAGGGTATAATTCAGCTTCACTCTCCCTGGCTAGTGGATCATAGTGGAGGCTTTTCCCAATGGCATTGCTGCCAAGTTGGAGGCTGGAGAATGGACACATCTCTACCTAATTTAACTAAGTGTCCCCTAAATTGCTTCCAAGTCCTTGCCTTACCCTCCAAATCCCAGACAGGAACACAGTGACCCACTTTGAGTCATCATTCTGGGAAATTGCAGCAAAGCTCACATGATAGAGAAAAGCCCCCAACAGTATCCCCAGATCCAGGAGGAGTTAGAGATACAACTGGGCCCTCAGGGGCTGCCTTGGCCAAGCACTCCTCCTCTCCTGCTGACACCTTTCTTCCCCCCACCTCAGTCCCCACCCCCTCAGGCTCAGATGGCCTCAGAGTCTTTCTACACTCTCCTGGTCAAGGCTGGATCAGCCACTGGTGAGCTACAACAGACATAGAGCATGAATACATAGTTCTTGTGTTACTTCTCTGAAGAATATCTGCCTAATGCACAAATATTTATTTTTATTATTTTTTATTGAGGTATAATTAACAAATAAAATAAGATATTTAGAGTGTACAATGTAACGATTTAACACATCCATCACCTCATATTCTTTTTTTCTTTTTTTTTTTGGCGAGAACATTTAAGTTCTCTCAGCAAATTTCAATCGTTCAATACAGTATTATCAACTATAGTCACCATGTTATACATGGTATATACATAGTTATACAATAGATCCTCAGATCTTGTTCTTCTTACAACTGAAAGTTTGTACCCTTCGACCAACCTCTCCCTATGTCCCTCATCCCCTGTCAACCACCTTTCTACTCCCTGTTTCTATGAGTTTTACTTGTTTTTTTTAGATTCCACGTATAAGTGCTACTATGCGGTATTTGTCTTCTGTCTGGCTTATTTCACTTAGCATAATGCCCTCCAAGTTCATCCATGTTGTCATATACGACAAATTTCCTTCTTTTTTAGAGCTGAATAATATTCCATTGTATGTATGTATGTATGTATGTATGTACGTATGTATATACACATCACATTTTCTTTATCCATTGCATTTGACTGCAGGAACATTTATCAAATGTTAGTTCCTGGGGATAGAGAGATGAATTAGATAGAAGCCCTGCCTTCAGAGGCCACATGATCTAGTACACATGATCTAGTCTAAATCAGAGAAAGATCAACTTGGGTTGGGGGTGCAGCACTATTAGGGAAAGTTGATGTTGAACTTGGTTTTGAAGGATGAATGGGAGTCTTCAGACAGATGAGACAGAGAAAGGTGTTCCATGCAGACAGAACACGTGCAAAGGCACAGAGTTGTGAGACAGCCTAATGGGTTTAGATTAGTACCACCAGAGCAGAAGGGATGAGGAAAGGGATGATGGAAGATGAGGCATATGAAAGACAGAGGCCAGGCCTTGTTAAGGAATGTAGACTTTATCCTAGAGGCAAAAGAGCTATTTAGGTTTTAGGTAAGAGACAGAAACAATCCCACTGTGGTGGCCAGATGGAGGCTGACCTAAAGGAGTAAGGAGTGAGCAGTGAGAATCTTACAGCAGTCCAGCAAGAAAGGAGGGTATGTTAGTGTGCTGGACTCAGCAGTGGTAATGCCGATAGAAAACAAAGGATGAATTACTAGGTACATAGATTAGGTTGGTGACTGATTGGAGATGGGTAAGGAGGGTGGAGTAAGAATGAAGGCAGAATCTGGGGCTGTCTTACCCCCACTTTGCATCATCAAGCAGGTAGGGGAGGCGCATGGAGAGAGGCCCTGGAACACTTTCTTGTGCCCCAGAAGTCAGGCATGTGGCAGCTGCCTGTTTCCTCTATGGGTATGAGTACAGCTGACCCTAGAGAAACACCTGTCTACTTCCACCTTGCTCTGGGCTGAAATGTGTCAACCCAAAAGATATGTTGACGTCTTAACCCCTGGTACCTGGAATTGCGACCTTATTTGGAAAACGGGTTTGTGGAGATGTGAGCAAGCTAAGATGAAGTCATTAGGGGAACTGGGTCCTAATCCAATATGACCAGTGTCCTTATAAGAAGGGGAAGTTTGCTCACAGAGACAGACATACACAGAGGAAAGACGCCGTGAAGACACACAGAGAGAAGACAGCCATGTGAAGATGGAGGCAGAGGGTGGAGTGACGCATCTACAAGCCCAGGACCACGAAGGATTGCCAGCAAACTAGAAGCTAGAACAGGCAAAAGATTCTCCCCTAGAGCATTCAGAGAGAGCATGGCCCAGCTGACACCTTGATCTCAGACTTCTAGCTTCCAGAACTGTGAAAAAGTAAATTTATAATGTTTATGCCATCCAATTTATGGTACTTTATTACGACAGCCATAGGAAACTAATATACACTTGTAGACCACAGTCGTGGGCTTGACTGCCAGTGACAGGAAAGAAAGTTCTAGATTATAAACGCTTTGAGGGATGAGGAAGTAATTCTGGGAATGTTTATAATAAATAAATGCTTTAAAAAGAAAATCACACAAATAAAAAAACAAACATTTTCATGTACAGATGTAAATAATTACTGTGGAGTCAAAAGAGAAATCTGAATCATCTCCCAATAGAGGCAAAAATGCTGATGACGAGAAAATGAGCGTACATCTTGTGAAGTGCTACAGAGGTGCTACCCTTCATAGGTTTTCGAGGGCATAAACCTCTTTTATCTTCACAACCACATCTGGAGAGCAGTCTCCCAGTTTGTCACCTCCCCTCTCCCCCCAAGGACATCTCCCCCTTGCTGCCCACCATTATGCAAACACACCACTAAATAAATTTTAAAGTTAGAGGTAAAAAGAAAAGGAGGCAAATTTTACAACCAAGCAAGAGAAATTAAATTAAGCATATAAAAAAAGAAGTAAAAAGAGATTAGAATTTTATAACAGAAATTAAGACTTCCATAGTAAAACAAATAAACAAGGTACAACAAAGTCAGGTAGAAAAAAATGTGTAAGCCAGAATATATAACAATTAAAATATAAAAATCAGGAAAGACAGCAAATAAATTGGGAGAAAAGGTTAAAATCAATAAAAATTAAGGCCAAAGAAGAAGAAAGTAGGCAAAATAAAACAACCTATACAGGATTCAACTGAAAAGAGAGCAAAAATATAGAACTCAAATATAAATACATAAGAAATAGATTTTTTTATTTGCTATAACTCCATTTTATTCTAAGAAAGAATTGAGGTGCTGAATTAAAAAATGAAACCAAAAAAGAAAAGTTTTCAGCAAACACATTTAAAAGCTGAAAGAATTAAATGAATTATCAAGAAAAGCTAACTTACAAAAAGAGAAATTAAAAAAGGGAAGCAGGAGACATGGCAAAAACTATAAAACTTAACTAAAAAGGAAGTGAATAAATGGAGAGAGATATTCGTATGCCTTTATTCCGGGGGGAAAGACTCCAGATTAAAGAATCATTTAAAAATTACAAAAATAAAAATACTAGATGAAAATACAGAAGACTCTCCACTCCTGAGTAAGGAAAATCTTTTTCTCATAAGGGGAATATGAAACCCAGAAGCCAAGTAGGAAAGGATCGACAGATTCACTGCATGTCTCTGTGGCCGACGACAGAATAGAAACAGTGTTGAAAGAAAAACATAATCTAAGGAAAATAGACTTGCCACCTCTGTGCCAGAAAACAGGCAGGATGACTGAGCGGTTAAGAACACAAGTTCTCCAGCCAGTAAGCCTGGGTTCCCTCCCAGCTCTGCCACTTACTAGCTGGCAACTTACTTAACAGCCCTGTGCCTTGGACTTCCCATTTGCGAAGTGGGATCGCCATAGGACCTCATGGGGCTGTGAAGGACTGAACCAGCGACTACTCATACAGTATGTGGCACGGCAGCTGGGACTTTGTAAGGGCCCAATGAGAATTCGCTACTATTATTAATTTATATAGAGCTTCTATAAATAAGAAAATAACAGACATCCCAATAAAAATGAAGATGAACTGCCAGTTTACAAAAGAAATAGAGGTATTTACCATAAAATACATAAACAAGCTCAGCCTCACAATCAAAGAAACACAGAATAAGCCAAGGTATTCTTTCTTTTTCAAATTGGCAAAGACATTTTGAAGTATTAATATTCAGTGTTGGTGAGAGTATAGGTAAATAAATAATCTCAGATATTTTGATGAATGTATAAATTGTTACCACCTCTTCAATGACAATTTATCAGTTTCTAGCACAATTTATCCACACCGAAATACCATTTGTAAAAATTTATCTTTCAGAAATGCTTCCACACGCATGCAGATGTACGTGTGTTGTGGTGTGCGTGTGTGTATGTACAAAAGTGCTCCTTGCAACAGTGGTTGTGATAGCAACAACATCTAAAACAACCGAAATGTCTGTCAATAGGAGATTGGCTAAATAAATTATGATGCATCCATAGAGGAGATATGATGAGGCCTTTTTAAAAAATATGGCTGTATTTATACCGGCTCATTTTAAATAAATAAAGCAAATTACAGAACAGTATGTGTACATTTTAAATGTATATGTTTGTATGAGCATAAGGAAATGTCTGGAAGGATGTACACCAAACTGTTGACAACAGTCCTCCTTTGGGAAGTGGCATGGAAATTGAGGAGTGAGGGAAGGAGGCAGGGTGACCTTCGCTTTTTACTTTTATGCATTTCTGTAATATGCAAGTATCTTTCAAATAAGCGTGCACCATTTTTGTAATTGGAAATAACGCAAACCTGGAATGAAGAAGCTACGATAAGATAAGCTGTTAATAACAATCAAAAGCAATAACAATAACAATAAATCAATATAAAGTAAAAATATCCACAGTATAAAGGAAAAAAGAAGTGAAAACAGGCTCAGTAGGGTTTCCTGAGTAGAAAACATCTTCCCACAGTGAGGTGTTCTGGGTGTTTCTGGGCAAGATAAGATAACCTTTGAAAAATGACAGCAAAGCCACAAAGTGGCCTGAGATGTAGAGAAGCGCACCTCATGGCCACAGTGGCTGTTCTGTGGAACAAGCACTGCGGTTTGGGTCCCTCTGTGACCTCAGCCTGCTCTAGAATTCTTTGGTCCTGAATGACGCCCTTATAGAAAACAAAATGCCAACCATTCAGAAGCAGATTCCACTTGCACTCAGAAAGGAGGGAATCAGGGAGCATGGACAGCCCCAAACTCTGAAGTCAATTTTTCTATAAAACAGGAGTTGATCTAAAGAATGCTATTTTACATCAGCTTGAGTTGTCAAGTGAGGGTATAGATGGCATCAGGACGGGCGCCTATGGCTCCTTGCTCCACACTGATTCTTCAGGGCCCCCAGCAGAGCTCGGGGCTCCTTCACCCCACACGTCCCCGAGCAACCCCAACCCGCACGGCCCAGATCCTCACCAGAAGAGCCCGCGTCTCCACACCACCGGAGACCGTCGACAATGTAACCCAGCAGCGTGTTTTCCAGGGTGAACATCTCCTGCTGGATCTCCGTGTACTGATGCGCCAGCTCCTTTGTTTTGCTCCAAAAGACAGTCTAAGAAAGAACAAACACAACTTGTTATTGAGATCAATTTAGTAAGTCAAAAAAACAAACCCACATTTTTTTTAAATGAAAGAAAAACATAGAAAATAGAGTAAATCACATATAGGGAGGGTAAGTGTTGTTGAGTGCATCACTGTTTTCTGTGTGTCAGTGAGCGAGAGCGTGTGTGGAGGGTGTTCGTGTGTGTGTGTGCTTTCCACATCACAGTGTAAAATGAATTTATTATTCTGGATTGCAGTAAAAAAGTCTGAAAGGCACTGATCAAAATCTTAGAATAAACGTAGGCTTGGAACTCATCTGGAGAAGGCATTAGGAAGTTCCAACATTCCTAAAGCTATCTGCAAAACAATTTTGTCTACACGCTATTTCCTGGGAGAAGTGCTCTTTGATTCTTAAAGAGCTCCATAACCCCTATTTCTTTCCTCAAATCTCCCCTATGCCCACAAAAAGAAGAAAAGAAAAGAACAAATATGGTGAGTCTTTTTCAGGATCCCTTTGTAAAGGTACAGAAAGTCAAATTTCAGAACAACGTCTGCTCCGTGGGTCTGTTCCTTCTCCACGGGAGGAGGGTGTAATCTGAAACACGGGCCCTGGAGTCACGCTGCCTCCTGAAGCCCAGCATCACTACCTACTAGCTGTCCGACCTTGGGCAAACAAAGCATCACTAAGCCTCACTTTCCCCATCCGTAAAATGGTAAGATAATAACTATAAGGAACTCCTGGGATGCTGAGGAGATTAAATGAGACAATGCAAATGAACTGCTTAGTCCCATGTCTGTGGCACAGTCACTTATTCAACAAGTGTCACCCAGGGGGTTATTTACCAAGCAGCTCCTCTGTGGAAGGCCTTGTGCTTGGTGCAGCAAGCAGGAGCTCCATAATCACTCTCGCTCTCTGACGATGGGATGAGAGGCTGTGATCTGTGGCTAGTTTAAGGGCTTCACAAAGAGGATTTGGGGCACACTGAATTTTCACCTTAAATGCTGACTTTAGAAAAGATGCTCTCCATTACAGACCTTTCATGGCATCATCAATGTATCAAAATCAGGTCTCTCCAGCTCCAAATCTTGTGCCATTGACATTTCAACTGGTCACTTTCAAGACCATCAAACTTGAGTGATCACTGGTTACCTAACTCGCCAAGCCTCGGTTTTCTCACTTGAAATGGGAATGTGACACCTGACCTGCCTATTCCACGGGATGGCTGTGAAGACCTAATAAGATAAAGTTTAAGAGAGTCCTTACGAAGCAAAGACAGCATTCTACAGTATTATTATTATCAGGGGGAGGGGAGAGTTTTATAGTTATGTAAGGCTGGGTTACTTTTGTTTGGGTTGGGTTTTGTGTTAGGTTTGTTTGGCCTGATTTTTGGCCAAGTATCCTTTTGTCTTTCCATGTCCCCACTTCTCTCTCTTATCTCCCCTCCCCAGGTGTCCTAAATCCTGATGATATCCTGGTCCCCAAGTAGCCCCACAAACGCCATCCCTGACAACCGCAGCTATGCTCTAATGTCCAGATTTTCATCTTCCCTCATCCTGGTCCAAATCTGGTCCTGTGACCTCTTCTCTCTGCTCTTATCCTCAGCTTTAAAGTGAATAACGTGCCCCAATTACCTTGTCGCAGGGTACAATTTGATTCGTCAGCTCTATGAACAGTTGATAGTCTTGTTCTGTAACGTTGCAAGGGTCCTTAGAAGTAAATGACTTTATGAACGCCTCCTGTATCTTTTGGCAGTCTTTATCTCTGTGAAATAAAACGTGGAAAATAAAATAAAACAGGAATAATCAGATTTCAAACATATTTTTGGAGCATAATTACCCAAAAAATCTCATGTAGGAGGCATTTATTGAGTGCCGAGTAGTTCATATACATCAATCATCTTGGCTGATCTGTGCAATATTGTTATGAGATGAGCATTCCCCTCCCTGCCCTACAAGGTCCCTGCCCTCGTGGACCTCACTCTGGTTAGAGGCACATACAGTACACAAACAAGCAAATAAGTTAGCAAAATAAGTACAGATGATCATATGTATGCAAGAAATCAGTGGGGAGGGCCTCCAGGAGAATACTGAGGCAATGACACTTTAGGGAGGCTGGTCAGGGAGGGTCTCCCTGCCAGGTCATTTAAGCTGAGACTAAATGCTGAGAAGGAGTGAATCCAGATGAGGGTTCTGCAGTGCAAAGGCCCTGAGGCAGGAAAGACCTTGTTGATTGGGGGGAAATGAGAGAAGAACAGCATGACTGCAGTGTAAAGGGACAAAGGGAATAGTGAGAAATCACGTCAGAGAAATAATCAAGAGGCAGATCACTTAGGCCTTTCGGACCAGGGAAACAATTTCAAATTTTACTCTAATGACAGTGGGAAACCATTGGATGGTTTTAAGCATGGAAGTTGCCTTGGCTGATTTTTGTTTTTGTTTTTTTTTTTTTTGCTGAGGAAGATTCACCCTAGGCTAACACCTGTTTCCAATCCTCCTCTATTTTATATGTGGGTCACTACCATAGCATGGCTGCTGATGAGTGGTGTAGGTCCATGCCCGGGAACTGAACCTGGGCTGCTGAAGTAGAGTGTGCCAAACTTAACCACTAGGCCACTGGGCCAGCCCCTGATTTTTGTTTTTGAAAAATCACTCTGGAAAACTCTGAGCTGGTCCCAAAGGAGAAAAGTCTCTGAAATAGAAATTTCAGTTCCACATCCCCTCCAAACAGCCCTTGGCATTGAGAAAGCAGGCAGGCAAGGAAGAATGATGGAGGGAATGGCAAAGAGGTCTAGAGAAGACAGCAGATGGAACTTTCTTTGCGTGTTTGTTTTAACAGTGCACATAGCTCATCATTTCCTCGGGGCAGAGAAGTGGGTTTCCACTGGGAGAGCTCAGTTATCATTATCAGAGTAAACTCCAGCCTTTGCAGCAGGGAGCCAAGGTACAGTACCAGGTCAGGCAGCTTGACCAGGGGAAGTAAAGACAAGACCCCTAGTTTTCTATTCCCTTCTGAGTCTGCTCTCCCATCACGGAGCACACACAGTAGGCCATTCCAGAGGATCTCCTGCCTTCCTGACTCAGACTGGCTTCTCTCCAATAAGCCAAGGAATCAGAGAATATTAGCATGGCACTGGCCCTTCCACAGAAGCCTCCCTGCCCACCTGCTCTTTTGGGGCAGGAATCAGGGGAAAGCCCTTCTGTTTAGGGCAGGGAGGGAGACCCTTGAGTTAGGCTGCCTGTCAGAACTCTGGCTCTGCCAGTTATGCTGTGTGTCCTTGGCAAAGTCACTCAATCTCTCTCTGCCTCTGTTTCCTCATCTATAAGGTATCTACTTAATACAGATGTCCTAGAATTAAGTAAAACACATGTTAAATTCTTTCAGGACAGTGCCCAGCACAGCATAACCAATGTCAGCATTACATTTCCTTCCTTTCTTTCTGTGCCCCTGGCTCAGACCTTCCTGGCTGTGAGCAGTCACTCCCAGCCAGCAGAGGCGGGCATGGCCCACGCCCCATGCGCTAACCTAGAAACATGGCTCATCCTTACAAGGGCCTGAAAGACATTCTGTATGCCCCACGCCTGGGGTGGGGACAGCTGCTTGGGGTCAGATCTAGGGCACAAACACAGGCCGGAGGTTAACACCCTGCTTATCTCCTTGTCCACATGCAATATGAGTCTCACTTTGCTCTCAGTTTTGGATGGATTTAGGAAGAACCAGCTTAGAAAATGTAATAGCTTTGATGCAAAACAGCCACAGGATAAAATTCCAGATCAGCCATCTAATATCTGGGTGTGCTGGGGTGATAATAATCATAATAACAGGTAGCATTTATTGAGGGCTTAATATATGCATCACATGCATATCTCATTTAATCTTATAACACTTCTGTGAGCGTGTGTATCAGGATTTGATTTGAGTTAGTAAGACCTAAAACTACAGGGACTTAAACAAGACAGAATTTTACTTCTCACTCGTATATCGATGTGGAGGCTAGTATCTGGGACTGGTATGACATTCCACATGTCAGAGACCCATCTACTCAGTCCAAAATGGCTGCTCCAATTCCAGCCATCATGACTACATTCCAGCCAGCAGGCAAGATTAGGGGGGAAAAAGAGGAAGAGAAAGAAAATGAAGTAAGAGGAGGAAAGAGCAGCAGCAGCAGTGAGCATGTGCCAGCTGCCTTTTACAGATAGGTACTAGAAGATGCTCTTACTATTTGCTCTTATCTCATTTGCTAAAATGTAGTCATATGGCCACACCTAGCTGCAAGGGAAAATGAGAAATGTAATCTTTAATTTTGATGGCCATTGCACCTCTAAAATCATGGTTTAAATCCTAGAGAAGAAGGGGTCAGCCCACAGGCTCTGTCACAGGGAGATACCACCACTGTTCCATTTTACCGAGAGGAGGAAACCTCAAGGCTGTGCATTTAATCAACTTGCCTGAGGTCACACAACTAGGAAGTGGTAAAGGCGGGACTGGATCCCAAGTCTGTGAGCCTGAAGGTCAGGCTCCCACTCTGCTGTTACAGCATCATTGCCTACGAGGCAGGCTATTAACTGCTCCAGCCTCGGTTTCTCCATCCATATGAGGGAGATAACACTGCACTCACGGGAGGCGTGCTAGGATTAAATGGGGTAACACGTGACATGCGCCTGGCTCCTGGGGGCTCTCTCCGCGGACGCCCTTCCACTTGCCCAGTCTGCACAGACATTTCAACTGCACTGACGTCAAAAGCTGTGCCAGGAAACCATCGTCAGCCCGGCGTTCTCCATATATTATATATTTAAGGAAAAAAGTTATTACATTACGTACTTCGGTGTCAGAGAAAATTTATGGGGCACCGTGACGGGGCGTTTAGGGAAAGGCGTTTGGCGGTTATTTCTCTATAGAGGACCATGTTTTAATTCCATTTATTTAACACAGTGGCCCTCTCAGGAATTTCCTGTTCCAGATTCCAACTCCCTGTAAAATTCTTCTACCTCTGTCCTTAGCAGCACATACAGGACTTGAGGCGGACAAAAGGTGGAGAAGAAACGTTTCCCTGAGAGGGAAGAACAAGAGAATTTTCCACAACAAAAGATGTGGCAGGAAAGAGAAATTAACATGTGCTGAATATCTAGCATACACCATAAGCTTTCATAGCATATTCTTATTTAATCACAAAAACTCAACGGAGTCTCATAGAGAACTCACCAACCTCCAAAATTATTCTTATGCTTCTTAGCAATGCAGACCTCAGTTCAAGAAACATCACCCTCAGAGTTCAAGAAACCCCAGGTTAAAAATTTAAGAGCCCCTGGTTTAGAAGGAGCAGAGTTAGAGGACATTAGAGTTGAAAGAGACCTCGGAGGAGTTTGTGACTCAACTGTCTTCCCTCTCTCTTTCTCAGAGATCAGAACCTCCAATGTGCCCCACAAATAAGAGAAAAGGGGGAGAGGCGACAAGAAGTCTAGGGGCAGGCTTCATGATGCTACTGTTCATCCTTAAAGTCAAAAGTAAACATCTCATCCTGGAGGTGCAAGTCAGCATTTTTGTTGGTGTGTATATATATATATTTTTTTAAACTATAGATTATATAATAATTATATATTTTGTATTGATATATAGGTATAGATATATAAAGAAATTAAGACTGCAGTGTACAGAGATGTCTGCTTTACTCAATCACATATGTCATCACAGAATGGGCCTCAAGTTCAAGTGTGTGGCTGTAGAAAGATGAGTCCTTGCTTTCGTTTTTTGCGGAAGTCCACTATCTTCATTTTTGTCCCCGTGAGTAGAGTACAGTTCCATCAATTCAAATCATAGCCAAGCAACAGCTGTTTTGAGTAAGCTGGCTGGTTTAAAGAAAACAGAGGGCCTCGGGAATTCCTGAGTCCAGCAGAGACAGAAGCAGATGTCTCTGACTGAAGAGGCAGCATGGAAGGAGTAAGAGCCGTGTCTGGAAGTTTAATGTGGTTTTTTTTATTTCTTCAATGCCTCCTCTGTTCCAAAATTAGAGGCCTTAGGTGTGATACTTCCAGGGGGACCTGCTGCTTGGGACAGGGACTGGGAAGTGGCCATTGCTGGCCCAAGGGCTGTTCCCAAGAAGTGAGTCTGTGACTGTGGCCCCTCTACAGGGACCCCCTGAACCAGGAGGACTGTCAAAGTTGTCTGGTCCTGTGGTTCTCAACTCTGGCCACACCTGAGGATCACCTGGAGGGCTCTGGAAAGGATACAGCGCCTGCTCCAGACAGACAAAGTCAGAATGCGGAAAGCAGAAGAGCAGAACGTGGAGTTTTTCAAAAGCTTCCCATTCCCACCTCCTCCCAGCCCCTGGGAACTGCCCTTCTGCTTTCTGTCTCCGTGAATTTGACTACTGTAGGTACCTCACATAAGTGGAATCATACAGTATTTGTCTTTCTGTGACTGGCTCATTTCACCTAGCATAATGTCCTCATGGCTCATCCAGGCTGTAGCATGTGTCAGAATTTCTTTCCTTTGCACAGCGAATAACACTCCATTGTAGGTATATACCACATTTGGTTTATCCGTTCATCCATTGTGGACAACTGAGTGCTTCCTCCACTCATCCTTTCATTCCACAGATACTTACCTAGGCCCACTGTGGGCCTCTCAACAGGCCCAGAGCTGTAAAGAGAGATACACACCATACACTCCTATCACGGTGCAGGGCAGAGAAGAACAAAATTAATTACAATTAAAGCACTGGCGACTTGTCCAAGGCACTAAACTTGAAAACACAATAAATAGTAGAACATTTTCTAATTTTCTACTACAGAGGATAGAAATGGGATTAAAACAAAACAAGTTTGATTTAATGTTATTCAGTATCC